TTGGTTAAATATACTCCCACTCATTCAGATCATGGCACGCTGATTAAAAAGATGTCTATGTTTGATTACACAGAGCTACATGAAACAGATAAGCACTCATGTAATTGCAATATGATGATATCACTAATAACGTAACAGGATCAGATATGATTTTTACCATCATATGACCTGGCCCTGCAGGCTAGAATAAAAAAGAACTAAGTCTGAAAATTGTCATTATTATAGCATCCAGCTGCAGAGAAATGCTCATAGTTTTGCTTAATGAAATCTACACTGGTAAAAGTACAATCAACTATATAAATATTTAAGATTCATTGATTTGCATGCATTATGCATAGACTGAGATCTATCACTGAAATCCAACCACAAAGTAGGCTTCTGTGAGGAGAGATGTGTATTGGAGAAGTTTCTTTGACATAAACATTATTCAAATCTCATTATTCTGACGCATGATAACACTCTGTTTAGCTTCAGGAGAATCTGCATTTTAACACATCCCCTGCAGCTAACCTGCTAATATGACAGTCACAATTAAACCTGTGTAGTCATTAATGAAACTGGGGCTTGGAAATGCAAATTTTATTTTAATGAAACAAAGGAAACAAACTAATTTACCTTTTTCACTGTTGTTTTTTAGTAATTACACACACCTCATGGTTTAAACTTGTAATAACACAATAACTTTAAAGGTTGTTACATGAGGCAGATATTACAAAAATGTAAATCTCACTCTTTATAGACAGATGTATGAAACACCAGTCTTATGACCAGTAATTGGTAGCAATAGGCTGCAGACTGTATTTTCAGTCTGTACAAGACCAAGGCAATTAGGATTACATTTGAGCTGTCTGCAAACAAGTTGGGCTTTGAAAACTGAACAAAAGTTGGTGCAACTCTGACATTAATTAGAGTTCATGTGGACATGTTTTTTTAATTCTCGTGAAAGCTGTGACAACATTGGTAAACAAATCCACTTATTGATGTTGCTTTTAGTCTCATTAAAGAGTGTTACACAGTTAAAATGCTATGATATTATGTTTGAATAGTGAGTCACAGAATCACTTTGGGAACAATATTTCAGAGTATCTAAGTTGACCAAATGCGTTATGTGCTTTAGGACCTTCCCTTCTATAATCACAACCACCATAGCTCTGATTAAAACAAACGCAGAGGTCAATTTTCACTCACACATCACTTTTACAATGACAAAGTAGATGGTGTCTTGCCCAAGCACACAACAACAGCATGAACTGGGTCAACTGTGACTGAACCACGCCAACAGCTCTACCACTGATTGGTCCGGTCCAAATATATGCAAAGAACAGTGTAATAGTACTAATTAAAGTAATTCTGTTTAAAGTGCAGCATTTCTTTTGGTTTTGTTGGTCTCCAGGGAGATGTTATCTCCATGAGGAAGCCATCAGGCCAAGTTATAGGTTAGATTTGTGGATAAATGACCCCGCTCCTCTATTTTTTAGAAGTAAAAATATGTATAATTCAGTAAATGAAAGATTTATTCAATGTCATATGTGAAATATACCAAAGCACCCAATACCAGTCCCACGGATACACCTTTAAAAATTATATAAATTCAAGAGGAAGGTTACTGCAGTATAAATTTATAAAGTTAACAGGAAGGTTACTGCAGTATAAATATATAAAGTATCAAACAGATGAAGCGTTTACTGCAGTTATAAATTTAAACATCTATATCTTTTGGAACAACTGTACAGAAAACCTAAAAACCACTTTCTTTCACTTCATAAAGAAGTTTAAATGTTTAACTCTTACATGTGATAGTTTGTGCTGTAATACTTTGTTGTTCTGTTACTGATTATGCTGTATGAAGCTCTGACAAAGGAATAAAGGGTAGGCATAATAAGCTTAAGCTTCAGCCTGTTTTGTCAAATATAACTGTTTATGAAATGTCAAAAATATGAAATGAAATGAAATGAGTTTGCATCAACATTTACTCTCTTTTTTTGTTCCCATAAAACTCTGCTACATCATTCCTGCTTTTAAAAAAAATATATATATATAAAAATGTGCAAATGCAATGTAAAAAGCATAAGATACGTAACAAAAAAGGAGTCAAGCTAGTTTTATAAAGACCAGAGGGACGTGTAAAGTGCATATTTTCTGAGTCACCAACTTCACATCAATAGTCACTCATTTTATGCTTTCATTTTTATTTCTAAAACGGATTTGTTTGACAGTTTTCTAAGCCAGCATACGTCACTGTTGAATCTCCTAACCACACAAACGTCAAGAAAAAATGAGACAGATACTGAATGCTTGTAAGGTCTGTAATTGAGTGATGTACTATTAGAAAAACTATCACTGCGTTTCTAAAAGCAGAGCTGTATTTTCTACTGTCAATGGAAAATGCCACTTAACCCAGACACCAGGTTTTGTTTGTGGGGCCAACAAATGACTGCACTGAGGTAAAATCACAGTGCTTTTACAAGAGAGATGTGTTATGAAAAGGCTTGAAAATGGGTCACATCCACATTGACAATTTTGTAACATGCAACTAACATTGCAGTCTAAGCATCTGACTTTGCTTTCCCATCTCTCTCTCTCTCTGCCTGAGATGGTATTGGCTTGTTACTTGATCCAGAGAGTGAAAATGTCCCTTGTGCACTCCTGACAAAATGCCACAAGCTCGACTAATTGGAAAGGAAGTCTTTGGGTGCATGGGAATTGGTCAGACAGCTCAATATTACCCTGTGTTGCTTTGTGTAATGGTAATTATCACAAGGGAAGAAATGGTTATATTTATTTGGTTGGTAAAATGGCTTTCTCCATGTACAAGAAAATAATTTTGGGTAGCCAGGTATTCGTTTGTACCCTTATTTTTTAGGGCAAAAAAAAAAAAAACAAAACAAAATAGCTATTGCTTTTAAACATGTGTCATGCTGTGTACTGGAGCTTGTATGATGCATTTTTCAGCATATTTGCTCATTCTTCTCTGCTAAATCCATATGTATGTCCATGAAATCCATTAAGGTCGACACATTCACAGATTTGTGTCCTTCCCCTGATCGCCTTCACTGTGTATTAGAATTTTTAAACAAGCTGTTATTGTTTTTCTGCTTTAAAATAATCACTTCACTTTTCAATGCAGGAGAAAATACAGGCACAGGCAGATACATGGCAACTAGGGCTCTGATCTGTTTCCATTAAATATACGTTATCCATTGATTTTAGAACGATGACTGATTTGAACAATGGCCATATAGCGATTAAAACTGATGACTCACTGATAAAAGGAAGCTGAAATGCATGGATACTAAAGAAAATATATGGTTACTGTATATGCACACTACAGAAAAACTGCTACTAACTTCATCATATCTTGGATACACTAATTGACTAACAGAATTTGAATTAATTCATTTTGGTAAGGATCAATACACTATACTATTCACACCACTCCACACACAAACACACACAGTACAGATGTAGAGAGCTCGCTTTTTTGCTTTCAGCTTCTCCCTTTTGAGGTCACCAGTAACCACCTGCCTCTGTCTGTGTCTCCATTTGCATGGTGATTCACTTGGTGCTTTTAAATTAAGTGATTTAAAAAGTGTTTGAAAGGTAGTAGAGGTAGAGGGAGATTAAACTTCTTAGTTGGATGTAATTGTCAATAACCATACAGTAAACACAGACAAACAGGAAAATTATAGACAGTTGTGTGGCTAAAGTGGGATAGCCTCTATTCATGCTTACCAGAAGACGCTGGAAACATGTGGATGCTGACTTGTGGTGTAGTTATCGACACTGGGCATGTGATAAAACCATAGATTCAGCAGCAGCGTCTTCACAACCTGCCAAAGCTTTTCATGGGGGATGTGACTCTAACAGCTTCACAGCTTCAACGTCATGTACAGGCAGCTGGTTGTAAGTGTTGATCTGCTGAACGTAACACATAAAATACACACATACAATGACGTCTTTCTTTTTTTAATTAGACAAATTATAATACACAAATTAATTGGTAATTTATAAAAGCAAAAAAGAAAAAATACAATGACGTCTTAATTAAAAAAAAAAACAGGCCATTTACAGTTTTCAGAGGTTTTGTTAGAGTTACTATCACCAACAGAGTCCAAATGAAGTCATCATCAGCATGCTTCCAAGCGTCTTTCGGTTTTGTGACGTACGCGTGAATAGAGCCTATTGGACCCAAGCCAACAGCTGAACACCTGAACCAATCACACTCCTGTTGATGTGTGCAAAATATCCATGTAGTAGCACAATAGTACTGCTTGTCCCCATGATGTTAATGCTTTTCCCAGAATGTTCCATAATATAGAATTGTGGCACTTACCTAACGCCAGGGGATGCCACCAGGTCAAGTTACATGTCAAGTCTGTGGAGAGGCACACCTACCTACCTACCTACCACAATAAGAAATCAAGTGCAGGTATTTATTTATCAACTAAACCCCATGTAACTGAATAAATGCAAGATAGATAATGCCTTATTGTCACAATCTCCATGGAGACAAGTAGAGCAAAGACCCACCAAAAAGTTACAGAGTGCACCTTTAAATTAGAATGTGCATAATTTACGTTAATAATAATAATAATAATAATCTAAGTTTGGAGTAAAGTTACTACCAGTGGAACATGTGACCCTAGGAAATACCTGTTTTAATGTATTTGTGGTCAGTTTATCCACATACACACTGAATCTCAGTATATCCACCAACATGCTCAGGGACTAACAGTTGTAAATTAGTATTCATGATATAACCTGGCACCAGCATCTCTCCTATGAATTTTCTCTTTGTTTATGTATTGTTGTGCACTGTTCCTGTACAAATAAAAAGCATACCATACCAACATGACTTATACCATATATGACATTACAATCTACTAACCACTTGCTGAACATTGTAACAATTGTAACAATACTATTAGATGAAATAAGGTTTTCAGATCTTTGTAGGACCATTATTTGTTGGTATTATTTCTATGTTTTCTTTTCAACAGCTGCAAAATGTCCGACTTCGAGGATTTCATCAAGCCTGAAGGCCAAACCAACGTGTCCGACAGTTACCAGCTCAACCCCACCAGTGTTATAGTGTCAGTTGTCTTCTCTCTCATCTTCCTTCTGGGCACCATTGGGAACAGCCTGGTTTTGGCTGTGCTGCTGCGGAGTGGCCAAGTGGGATACAACACCACAAATCTCTTCATCCTGAACTTGAGCGTCGCAGATTTCTTCTTCATTATTTTCTGTGTGCCATTCCAAGCCACCATCTACTCCCTGGAGGGCTGGGTGTTTGGGTCCTTCATGTGCAAAGTGGTCCATTTTTTCATCAATCTCACCATGTACGCCAGCAGCTTTACACTGGCAGCGGTCTCTGTTGACAGGTAAGACGTAATCACTCATTTTTACCACAGTCACTGGTGCAAGTGCCCAAACTTACCATTACAGACCATTATGTCTGCTCATGGACTCTACGATTACTTTGGGGTGACTATTCTATGTCTTAGACCCAGAAAAACAGTAATTTAAATCTTTGCACTGTGTAATTTGTCTGGTAGAGAGTCCGTCACCTGTTTGTCATGGAAATATGCCTAGAATGTTCCACAGTATGGCCATAAACCAAAATCTCCATGGTAACTTAGAAGGTTACAGGTTAGGTCTGTACTCATAAAAGAAAGAAAAGAGCAATAAATAACTCCTGAAGTTGAATTAATGCAAGACAGATTAGTTTAATATCAAACTGTGGACAATTTAGACCAAAGCATTAACAGCTCCATAGAGACAAAACAGGTTGTGGACCCTCTCCAGAAAAGTTCCACAGTGCACCATCAATGGTCCTATGTCACACAAAAAATTGCCCCTTGTAAGCTTTAAGCCAGGTTAGAATGTTGTTTCAGCCTAAAAAACATACCTGGAGTTGTGTTTTGTTTCATTCACAGATGTTTAGTGACCCTTTATTTAGTCTGTCTACATCTCCAAAGCTCAAAATGCTCTGTTTCAGGTTTGTGTGTTAAACACGTGTGAGTGAAACAAAACACAACTCTAGATATATTTCTGATGAGGAAACAGCATTATAACAGATCAGAAAATAGTGTACTTCGGACCTGTTAATGGAACTAAACCAGGACAAAACCCTGAATGAACATAGATTACAGCTAAACCTCTAAGGATTAAAAAATGAAACCTTATCCTGGCTGAGCCTATATAAAGACACATTTTGCATGAGCCTAGAATTAGCTTTACAACAGTGTCTTTACTTTCAAGTTTACATAGCATAATTTAAACTCAGTTGTCTGAAGAAGCAGTTACAGAAGGGCTCTTGAATATCCTACGCATTTGTTAAGTATTCTCATCAGTCTTTTCCAAGCTTATAAATTCTGATATAGAAAAACAACAGTGTCATTTGAATGTCTTTGACTGTGAACAAACCATGTGTGAATACTCTCCCAGTAAAAAGGCTGCCTTTACAGATACAAGCCTCTAATTCCTTCATATTCACACATTTTACATCATTATACTGTGAGACCTCTATGAAATACAAGCTGATGCCAATTTCCTCTTTAGACAGTGTAGATAAATGAAATCCCTTTAACATTTGTGGTTTATTGATTGTTCCATTGCGCATTTTGCAATTGGTACAACTGCTCTAGCTGCATTGATTCTGTCAAATTAATGAAGCAAAAAAATCGTAACATTATTGTAGTTCAGTTTCTTCTTTTAGTTTCAAGTGTAATACAGAATTTCACACTGATTTTGGGGCAGTTAGATATGTGAGTCATGTAGTCGACTATTCCTCACATTCCGCAAGGAACGTAGATTCATTATGGGAATGAGAGACTTGTAATCACTTGAGATGAATATTAGAATCATATAGTGCGTACTCAGATTTGAAGAAATTGTTGAGTTTCGTTTAGGGAGCAATGAAAATAGACACGATTAGAAATAACATCGGAGAGACAATTTGGATGGAAGTGTGAACAACGTGGCCCAAAGGACACATTTTCATCCATTATCCAAAGTTGTCCAAAATGCTTCTTTCGCATTTTGCCTGGATTGTTGCATCACAGGTAAAAACTTCTCTTCTCTTCTTGTTTTTTAAGGGATTACTACAGCATCATCTCTGCAATTTTTAGGTCTTCTCACAATTCAAAAAATACAATATTTTTTAATTACCATAGCAACAGTTTTATTATTACACTGAAACGTGACACTGAATTGAAGGAGGTGTTGGAACGTGTCCTTGCTTAAACCTAGAGACTCTACAAAATCAATATCCACCAATAGCTATAGATTAGCTGATCATTCACAGGGTCACAGCACAATTCAATTTATGTAGTCATATCGCCAATCCCATTTTAAGGCAAGGTAAAGCAAGTTTATTTGTAAAGCATGACTCAGACTCAAAGTAATTCAAAGTGCTTTACTACAAACAAATCAAAACATAAAGAATCATCATAAAATTAGCATTTAAAGAGAAGAGTGCAAAAAAATGAGAGGTGAAGTTGAGATGGTTCTGGACTACAAATCATAATGAAAACATATATGCAGAGTTAGTAGGTGTTAGTGGATGCTATGAAGGAAGACATGGATTTAGTTGGTTTGAGAAAAAATCTGTACAGAGAATGATCTGAGAAGATGGAGGCAGGTGATTGATATTGACATTTTCATGGAGACAATAGATGATAAGAAAATGTAAACTATGGACACTGTAGAAAATGACTCACTCAAGCTGTACCTCATTTCAATAGCTTTCACAAACCCTTTGGTGCATCTCTGGTATTCACATGCATAGACTGTGTGGATTCAGAGCAGCATTTTAGATCTTGAAGCAAATCAAAGCACAACCGACATGCTTTCATCCCACAGTCTTATAGTGACGCACACTGCTCTTTCTTTAAAGTTTAAAGATCCTATATTATGCAAAATTGACTCTTGTGAGCTTTAACCAATATAATTATAGTTACAATGCTGTTACCTGATCACAAACATACCCAGAGTTGTGTTTTGTTTCATTTACACATGTAAATGAAATCCCCAAATCTCAAAACGCTCTGTTCCACCATGTGATGTTATGGCAGCTGTCTTCTACCTTAATTTCAGTAAATATTGGCAATTCCAGGGCTGAAATTATCCAGAAGATTCTAGTGAAGATGTAAGCAGTTTAAAAGCACAGTGGAGCACCTGTTTTGCCACATGACATCTCAAGGTGGAACAGAGTGTTTTCAGTTTGAGAGAGGAACTAAATATGCAGGGTTTGTCTGTTAAACATGTGTGAAATAAACAAAACATAACACCAGGGATGTTTCTGATGAGCAGACAACATTATAACAGACATCAAAAATTCTATAATATAACCGTTTTAACACACAGTTCTACTTTTAGATGATATTCTGCTGGGGAAAACTTTAAAAGAATAAAGTTAAGTGAAGACATAAATGTCAATGAATGTACATAAAAGTATACACTTTTATACCAATCAGGTAGCGTTAGACAGTAGACTGCAAAAACATATTTTTTTAACACTTGTGATATGTAATTAACCATACATTCCTTTTACGTACTGCATCCTCCCGCTTCAGTTACAATTATGGCAAAGTAAGTGATTGGGCGGAATGATTGAATGGCAAAGGCTGCAATTATTTTAGTTTACTAAGGACATCCTGTTCAAATTACATAATTTCCTTTCTCAGAAGTGTATAATTATGTGTAAAACCTATTGCACTCATAACCTCTAAGTTCTGGTTTATATATCTCAGACTGACTGTTTTAAATGTATTTCTGTAAGATGTTAATGCTCCTGGACTTGTCAAACTTTGTCCAAAATAAATTATAAAAATCACAGTTCTATCTTGCATCTTGCATCTAATTATTTGACTTAAAGGTGCACTGCGCAACTTTTCAGGTCTGTTATTGCTCTGTCAGATCTGAATTGTAATGTAGTGTAGTGCTGTAACCTATTTATCTTTATTGGGATATATAGGGTTATTCCTCTGTAGAACATTCTAGACAAAGCAAGAACATGGAGATAAACAGGTGGCGGACCCTCCACTAGAAATGTTACATAGTGCACTTTAAAAGAAGACATATTGTGCTTTTGTCTGCTATAGTTATAATTTCTAACCCCTGAATGTCATTATGTTATATTGTGGACATTTGTAATCAATAGATCAATATTAGTTAAAAACGACTTAATAAAACAAACAAGCTGATTTCCAGGCTAGTACAGAGCAGTGGGTGTGTGGAGGTGAAAACAGGAGTAGATTGGAGCAACGACATCTAAAAGAATAAAGTATAAAGATTACTCAAATATGCATGAATCGTTCTAAATACAAATTTGAGTGGGTAAAGAAGGGAAGGGAAACAATTATAAAATGGTTTAAAGCTCTAAAAAGTTGGTTTTGCATAATATCTTTGAACACCTTTAATACAATTTCACAATATTAAGAGGAAGAAATCTGATCTCACCAGTAATAATGATCTAATAATAGTCTTAAGTAGCTCAATGCTCAGAGGTGCCCATCAACACTTTATTCAGGCCCTGCTAACTCAACAGTAAAATATCTGCATGAGCAACTGAATATCCCTCTCAGATTATTGCAGGTGCTCAGAGCCCACTGTCGTCATTACTGCTGTTTGTCGACATTATCAAAAGGGTCAATACAGACACCGCAAACATCCGCAACAAAGGAAGCGTTCTGTTTACGATCTACCAAGGTTAATTTCTGCCACACAAATCAGTTGGCATTTAATAATTGTGTTGTCAGAATATCTGGTGCACTACACAATGAAGGACAAAAGCACCATTGTACAGTGAAGTGATGAGACAACAGATAGGATAGTAGAAATAAAAGATTTATTTTTGATAAAATCATGTTCAGGGATGTAACCAGGGTATAAATGTACAGACTTGCAAAAATATCTAACTGCAACCTCAGCAACAAAAGTAGGTTAAATTATGTCTATAATGAACCTGGTGTTAACATAAAGTTCTGAGCTCAGAACCTCCAGAATGATCTGAGCTGCAGAGGCTGCACTAGCACTGATGAACGATTGCCTGCTGATACTGAAGAGACTCTGCTCTCTTTCTCTCTCTCTCTCTCTCTCTCCGTCTCTCTCTCTTCGTCTCTCTCTCTCTGCTTTCTGATTGGAGAATCATCTTCAGAACCAAAATACCACATTTATGACATAGTAAATGTGGCCATCATGCCCAGTGTTTTTGTTATTAAGTATAAATGAATATTACAATTGTAAAGTAATATTTGATTTGAACATGTCTACCTCATGTCTCTTACATTTGGTTGCTAAGATCTTATCACAGAAGAGTATTAAAAAGCAGAGAGCTATTAACAGTTAATGAATATAACTCAATAAAACTTTATTTATCCCCAAAGGGGAAACACGGAGCAGCGATGAATATATCACATAAAATCAAAGCGACATTAGGCACTGCCATCTGGACACTGCTGATCACAAAATGGTGACTGAGATTGAGAAAACACATATCACTAAAATTTCCATAATACTGTACATAAAAGGTTAATTAAAATTGTTTATACTGAAGTAAAAGTGTTTTTATTTTTAGTGCAAAAGAGCTGCTTTCCAGCATAGTTGTATTTGTTGTGCTGCACCAGTCCCTTGTGTCTATAGTAATACCTGAAATTGACTAAGTCAACTGGGGCCACTGAAGAAATGATTGAACACCTCCTGATTCTTTACAATATAATTAGCCTACATTTCTACACTATGCCTTCCAATATAATCACATTAACTTACAGTGAGGTGAATGGTGATTACATGTTATTAAATCCACAGAAAATTACACCCTGACTGCCTCATATTGAACTTGTAATCCTTGTGCACACCTTATTCCAATAAGTACGGGCTTCTCTGCGTCTTGTGGCACATAATCCAGCTTCCTTTCATAACCTCACCTGAGTGTGAGTCACATCACTGCCCTGGAGTCAAAGGACTTGCAGAACATGGCACCTTTTCACACACACGTCGAGTGGCTTTGGCCCTATTTCATCAAGGTTTCAAAGATGAGAGCTTTCCCCCCTTCTGTTCCTCAAGTGTCTTCGCTGAAGTCGCTGGTAAAAAGACTGCAAAAAATCTGTGAAATGTGAATCTTATCCCTGCTATCTGCAAAAGACCTGAAATAGACCAAATGGTAATGATAAAACCATTCACTCAGTTCATAATTGGCTCTGGCAAACTAGCATTCTAGCCACAGCTGCCCTGGGGTAGACTGACAGAAGTAAGGCTGTCAATATACCATAGTATACCGATTTTATTTGTAAAGCACTTTAAAAAAATGTACAGCTGGACAAAGATTCATACACAAATACTGAAAAGACAAATACCATCAAAGTCACAATTCAAATACTAAAAATAATAAGACACAAATTACTTTAAGGTGCAATATGTAACTTTTCTGATGGAGGGTCCATCACCTGTTTTTCTTCATGGAAATGTTATTGCTTTGTCTGAAATGTTTTACAGTATGGCATAAACCTTTCTATCATCGTGGAAACTAACCCAGGACATGTTAATGGTCAGATCCTCTGTTTTTGTATTTTTGAGCAATAATACCACCTGTAATTGAATAAATGTAAGGCAAATCTGTTTAATGTCATATTGTGAACCATTCAAAGCAGGGTGATGGAACCCCAATTGAAAAGTTACACAGTACACCTTTAAGTTAACAACAATAAAGCTACATCTCTGAAAAATTGTGTATTTTTAGGAGTGATTTAAAAACACGTAAGTACTAGTATATGCAGCATTAACGTCTATGCCAACTAAAAACAAACATATGCATCACATTTGTATAGGATAGGTTGCTGAAGTGTCTTGCTTAAGGACACAATGACCTTATGCATTATAGCCACTGTTGCCCCACTGCGACACCTGTTATGCCCAGCAGCCTCCCATTCAAATACTTACCAGAACCAAAATTTCTTAGCTTTTGAGGCTAATGTTTACACAGGGCTTATTTATGCAGAATGTGAGGCTCAAAACTTGATTTTGTGTTTTGCCATAGCAATAAAAATCTTGAATTGGAATCTAAGATCAAATTGGTGACCCACTTTTTATACACTAGGCACTGCAATGTTGAAAATAGGAAGAAAAGAAGATACAACACAATGAATAAGATCTCTTGTATCAAAACATTGCATTGTGGGATATGTGCCACCACAATGATCAAACCTGTGTAGAGCTGACTGTGATCCAGGCTTCGCTGTTGCCATGCCATAACTTTGTAATGCAAGCTCCACAGAATCCCCCTCTGAGACCACAAAGCCCCCAGTGTGCAGCTCCATGTTTGGAGAGACAAGCAAAAACATCTTTTATTCAACTGCACCTCACTTCTTTGAGCTGGACATGGTCATTTTGTCTGATCCCTGCTGATGATGGCAGGAGCAGTTTTGCCATGGCAACTTCAGATGTTATGTTTTTAGCATGGACTGAAGGCCACAATATGGGTGGTCTCTAAATGGTGGTCTCAGTTATGAGTGAGTGATGTATTACAATTTTACCCACTTCCTCCTTTCACAGTTTGCAAGTCAGGTAAGCCAGTTTTAAGCCATGTTATGACACTGTTACCTCATCAAAAACAGCTTTAGAAGTATTCTGTTCATTCACTTGTCTTTGAATAACTCTTTATCATTAGTCTGTTTACATCTCTAAAGCTCAAAATGCTCTTTTCCACCGTGTGATGTCATGAAGCAATAGATTTCAAGTTAAGAGCTACGTTTGTTCAGTACAGATTGGCAGTTCCAAGTCTGAAAGGTGTATGAAATCTCAGAAGCATTTCCTGTGCACAGAGCACTTCCAGTATTACCACATGACATCACAAGGTGGAACACACCGTTTCTGCCTAAATATGCAGGGTTTATGAGTTAAACATGTGTGAATGAAACAAAACATAACTATAGGTATGTTTGTGATGGGGAAACAACATTATAACATATATCAAAAAATAGTGTAGCATCCTATATCCTATGGTCATTACTGAAACATATTGCAAGCAGCTGCAGATCGGGTCACCATACTTTTAGCAAGGTTTGGAACATTAATTTCTGAAGAATTAAGTGTTTTAAGAGTATCTTGGAACACATAGTGCGCTGCAGTTTGTTCAAATTAAACCTTTCCTGGATATGAGACAAAATAAAAATAAAAACTGTTTTTCAGCTAGTATAATATGTGCTCCTTTCTTTTGATATGGACCTACCAATAACACATTTTCTGGTAGTAATTAATATAATCTACTCTGAGCGTGTGTTTGTATTTTTTTTTTGTATATTTTCAAATTGAACCAAAATGAGAATTTGTACCAGCTAAAATGACCATAATTTCCTATTGGGTTGGACACTTCCAATTATAAATAATAATAGAACAATTCATATTTCTGTATTCAGACACAGATATGATTGAAAGTTCAAAATCTATTTATTCTTTTTGTTATACCTCAGTTTCACTAAACATATTTTCACTAACATACTCAAATCTATTTCTGTCACTGCAGATACCTGGCCATCCGTTACCCTCTGCGATCTCGTGAACTTCGGACCCCGCGTAATGCTGTTGTTGCTATGGTGATCATCTGGGGTCTGTCTCTGGTGTTTGCTGGTCCCTATCTGAGCTACTATGACCTCATCGATTACGACAACAGTACGGTGTGCATCCCTGGCTGGGAGGAGCAAAATCGAAAAGTTCTTGATACCTGCACTTTTGTATTTGGCTATGTAATCCCTGTTCTTATCGTGAGCATGTCCTACACCAGAACCATTAAGTACCTCTGGACCGCCGTGGACCCCCTAGACGGGATGTCCGAGTCCAAAAGAGCAAAACGAAAAGTGACTAAAATGATTATTATCGTGACTGTTCTTTTCTGTATTTGTTGGTTACCATATCACGTTGTCATCTTGTGCTATCTGTATGGAGATTTCCCCTTCAACCAGATCACGTATGCATTCAGGCTCCTGTCTCATTGCATGGCTTATGCTAACTCCTGTGTCAACCCCATAGTGTACGCTCTGGTCTCCAAGCATTTTCGCAAAGGATTCAAGAAAGTGTTCAGCTGCATTTTGAGTAAAAATGGAAGAAACAAGGTCCATGTCGTTCACGTGGCCAACACAGTGCCGGGGTTTGAGGCCGGGTCCACAGAGGTGTCGCATATGCATGAGGAGAGGCAGAATGAGTGTGAGATGACAAACAGACCTCGACCAGAGCCCAGGGAGCCAACAGTGACTCTGAACCTGCCCTTTCAGAGATCCACCTGAACATGAAGGAGACAGGCTCTGAATGTGGCCCTATTGGAGGACTTCATGAACTGTTTAAAGTGTGTGCTGTTTACCTTGTGCTGTGTATTCATTGTTGTGACAAATGACTCATATTGACAAGCTTATTAATTACACAGTAGATTAAGTTTTAAGGAAGTAGTGCCAGAAATCTACTGCCAGAAAATATTGTGTTTTCCACTCTAACCAAAGTATCAACATGATTGGTTGTTCAATCACTTCATGTTTTTGTCCACAACCTGCCTTTACGGCTGTTTACATTTTGTTATTTATTCATGACTGTATTAGACTGTATAGAGAAGAGGACTAAGACAAAGTGTGGCATCACCGATAGCGCCAGCTCCATTCAAATGAAGCTCAAGAGACAAGCAGTAACGGGGCGAATTTGGAGTAGAGCTCCATATTAGGAATAGGAATCGATTTACAGCCAATATCACAAAATAAAAACACCAGGATCATGTAGATCATGAACATTTTAAAACCAAAATGGCTCACTGCAGCAGTTACAGAGACAGGGGTGACCATTTTTTTAGGTATAGTCAATTCGACCAAGAGTCGATGGAGCAGGAAGTGCCCCACGCTCACTTTACATATATATATATATATACAGTGCAGTCTGTGGTGCTGTCACTATTGATTTGTGGTAATGTGATGTCTGAAGCTGACCTGATTTTTGATACTATCCATTAATATTTATTGTATAGTCCATATCAGCTATTAGCAACTTGTAGCCAACATACAGATGAACATCCCTTTAGATCACCATGATAATGTACTCGGTTGATATCTACCACAAACACATACAAAAGGATTCTACAGTGTACCAATGAAACAGAAAATGATGCTGTGTGAAGACATTCTGGAAATTGGTCCAGTCAGACAATCATAAAGCCGCCTTAATCATAGCTTGCACTATGCCATTTCTTTTATATGCGTCCAGTGTAATCTACTGTCAGTTCAGATAATTTGGTTTTAATAGCTGCTACTTACTTCTCTTTTGAAGTGAACAGCAAGAGGACTTACATCCAAGTGTTTAGCTGAATCATTACAATCATTTTAAAGTGGCTTACCCACAGGAAGTGAATGGTGCTAGACTTTTCCTCACTGAAGGTCACTCCAACATGTTTTTACCACTATTTTTGACAAAGACTGCAATGGCATTTTGAGTCTAGTGTTGATTTTAACACCTAGATCAGAATGCTTTACTTTCTAATGCAAGAATTAAATACTTCTCACTAAACCTGTCTTGCACGCATAAGTTCATTTTCAGATTCATGATTAAAGGTGCATTACTTAAAAGGTGCACTCGCTTGCTTCTATGGATATGTCACTGCTATGCATGAAATGTTCCACAGTATGACAAAAAACAGATCTACCTTACATTTACTAAGTTACGGATAGTTTTATAACTCAACAATACCTAGAAAAACAGGCATTCTGACTGTAAGTGCGGTTGCCTCTCCACAGATCTGACCTTTAACTTGGTCTGGTTTAGTCTCTATGAAGATAGAAAGGTTTACTCTAATACAGTGAAACATTCCAGACAAAGCAGCACCATCTCCATGGAGACGAGCATTTAACAGACTCACCACCAGAAAAGTTACACAGTGCACTTGAGTTGTGTGATCCTCTGTTGTCCTTTATTTATTTTTTATTTTTTTAATGATTATATTTAATTGGGTCTGTTTCATTGTTCTATTTATTTGTTGTTTTCACTCCGTGTTTATTGTGTTTTTTTATTATATTATATGTGCAGCACTATGTTTACAAAATGTGGTATAGAAATAAAATGGACTGAACTGGATAATGAAATAGTGAACCCACATCTAGCTTAAAGAAGTATTGATTGTTATGTTGCATATAATGACTGATGATTCAAAGCATGTTTATCTTTGCTCTTTGTTGTACATATAATTATGTATATTGCTAAGCACGTAATTGAGTATATAATTTAAATGCTATATATTCTGTATCCCCCCCCCCCCTCTCTGTTTGGACCATAGACGATAATGTGTCTATGTTTTGACTGTGAGCTTGTGTCTACCTCAAAATGTTGGAAAACAAGATCTAAAGCTTTTGTGTTGTGTAAGGTGCAGCTGTCCTCGAAAAGAAAAACATCCCATTTTGCAATGGGTATGGTCTATTGTGTTGGTATTGATCTTGATTCTTCTGTTTTGCTTATTTGAGTGTCATCATTTTCCAAACCGAACACAGTATTTTGACATTATATATATATACAACACATTATTAGATGTGTTTACTAAGATATTTGAAAGTGCAATCTAATATCTGAATAAATATTTTTGCTGTCAGATTTGATTGAATTCCTGTTTAGGGTGTATAACTGCCATCACCTCTGAGAAGCAGTAAGCAGTGTAGTTCATTAACACCTTGTCTATACAGTGGAAAACAACATCACAAGAATATAGTGTATTCTCTTTTAACAATATATAGCTGATGCTGGGTTATTTTTATATGTGACTTTCTAGCTATAATATATAACATAACATTTGGTACATCTAAGCATAGGAACTCATAGGGATTATTTTTATAGCTTCAAGGCAGAACTGGGGTTGCAATTATTCAGTAAAAACAAGGTACAGAAGTTGAAAGCTCTGGTAGGCTATTGGGAACTTTTCAGATCTGGCCTTCAGCTATCATTATTTATTCAGTTATAAATGTTTTATTGCCTAAAGGTCCTTTATTACAGGAAAATGACTCTTGTCAGCTTTAAGTTAAGTTATGTTAGAATGTTGTTATCTCACCCGAAACATACCTGGAGTTGTGTTTTGTTTCATTTACACATGTTTGAATAATCCTTTATTATTAGTCAATATAGATCTCAAAAGCTCAAAATGCTTTGTTCCGCCTTGTGATCTCATGAAGCGAGGTATCAAGTTAACAACTACAGTTTTTTAACAGCTTTAGTTCAGTAGAGATTGGCAATTCCAGAGCTGAAATCACCCAAAATGATTCTAGTCAAAGTGTATGGAGTTTAAAAAAACATTGGAGCTATTCCTATATTACCACATGGCATCACAGGGCAGAGCAGTGTTTTCAGTTTGAGAGAATAACTCAGTATAAATATGCAGGGTGTGTATTAAACATGTGTGAATGAAACAAAACACAACTCCAGGTATGTTTGTGAAGAGGAAACATGGAGGCGCAGAAGTATCCTTGTGGGGTTCTGTCGTTTGTGTGAGGCAAACTAAAAGATTAGGTCTCATCTCAATACAACAGGAACTTTTCTATTTCTATTTCAACCTTGCAGGGACAGTGGATACTTGCTACATCTGCAAACTCAGCTCTTTGTGTTGTTAGAACCACATGGGCCCAAAACAATATAGACATCTTTATGGTTTCTGAGTATATATATAGATTATGTCAGGCCTACCTTATATCCACTGTAATGGTAAAACAGCAAATATTTCTGTGTTTCTGACCAGGGGTTTGTGCTGTTCAAATTGAATCATACAGAGAAGCGTGGCAATGCTGCAGAGGATCCCAGGAGACCAGCGCCGCCTCTGTGCAAACACCAAAGCCCAACACAAAGACTATTCATGCAGTACTGAAAACCAAAGAGGGAAACCATTCAATTGCAAGGCTACCATTCATACAATCACACAATCACACTTACATCAAGAACACCATAGTTTGTGCAGAAAAACACAAAGAAAACGCACAAGTGGCTTACCCGCCACACAACTTCCTCAACCTATTATAAGGTCTCTGTTAGAGCATTACAGTACTGGAGAGCTTGTCCACCGATCAGAAGGTTGGCGGGTTTACACAGTTGGTAGGAAGATAGGAATACTGTTGTTGTGTCCTTGGGTAAGACAGTTCTCCCACCTCGCACTCAGTTGGCAGGGCAATCAGATCAACTGACCCTTGTTGAAGGTTGAAGGGTCTATTCCAACAGACACTAAGCACTTGTTACTGCCAATGTCTATGTACTCTGGGGTACAAATGTGTTTTAAAGGGTGAGTGGTTCCATTGCCATTTGCCAGCTCCCAGCTTTGTGTCTATGAGCAAGACACCTAACCCTCCTTGGTTCCAGTGTCTGTATACTCTGGTGTATGAATGTGTGTGAATGGGTTTGTGGTTCCTTTGGTATTTCAATCCCAGCTGTAATCAGTCACCAGTGCACACCGGTGTTGTGTCTATGGGCAAGACACTTCTCCCCTTGTATGAGATGTTTCAGTGAATAATGGTGGTCAAACGTAGCCTGATTCATCAGCTGATTTCACTTCGTGGAAACAGTTAGACCTCGCAGCTTTAGGATTTGTTCGCTCAAAGGTAGGCAGGTAATCGCTGCAATTTGGTTGTGATGTATGTAATGTGCCGCTAACGGGGCTAACTGATATGAACTTTTCCCAAATCCTATAGGGAGAAGGGCAATAGCACCTTTCCCCTTGATAAAATTCACTGAACATTCCCTTTGTTCCAGCTTTAAATCCTCAATCTCAGTAATCGTTGCCAACACAGAATGTATGGCTTTGTCTACATCCATCTCGACCGCTTTGTTTACTGTTGTGTTGTACCACAAAAAGGGACCCAGTCATGGCTTCACAGCTCTTTACTAACTGGCCGGTGCGTGGTCTAGAAACCTCCAGGGTTCTTGCAAACCGTCTAGTCTAATGTATTCTGATTCCTGACCTAGTCGTTGAAGAGAAATGATATTGAGAGGAGGCATTACATGGTGCCAGCCTGGCTAGGTCAAACGGGCCTGACAATCATTCTTAGGGTAGGAAATTGACAACAGTCTTTTGTGAGCCTCCTGTGAATCCCACTGTAATATTGCACCAATAAATTATATGTGAGGTGATATGTTTTCTGGCTCTCTTACACTGATGCCATATTTCAATTAGAAGTTTAATTAAAGTGTTTATCACATATTAGGGCACAGTGTTTATGTGTTTTCATGATTAAAATGAAGTAGAGTACAAAAACCCGGTTGTGCCTTCGTTACATCAGCAGGACTCCAGGCATGTGTGAAATTACATAAATCTGTGCAGCCAACAGCAGCTGTATAATTACTGGTGTTACGTGTTCTGGAGGAGAGGAAGGCTTTTATTGTTTCCCCACGGCTCAGGATACTCACCTAAAATTGACTTTCAGTTTACAGAGTGCATGCACTGCTTGACCTTTGGGTGCAAAAACACTCCTCGGGTAACACAAAACAACAGAGGTGACATATGGGGCACTGGCTGTTGTTGATGATTGCTTTTTGGACATTTCTTTCTTTTGGAGCTGGATGTGACATGGCTCAGTTTGAACAGAATAACTGACATTACTGATTTGGAAGCTGGACTATTCTATGTATTTTGCAGTGACGTCATGCTGGGGGTGTTCGACTTGTATCTCTATGGGCGGAATGTTTAGCTGTTTCTACGGTGACACAGTGCACACACAAACAAACACAAACAAAAATAAGATGGTAAAAGTGGTCTGAAAACTCCTGAAGAAAAAGTACAAAACTAATATAAACAGCACCTTTTCAGGAGCCTGTGATCAATACGAGAGTTCATGGTTCTGTTTAGGTGTCTGCTTTTCAACAATAAGGTGAAAGTTATTATAACTG